TGGCCTGAAAACAAAACCAAATCCCCATGAAATCATTTATGCCTTGGTTTCCCCTGTCATTCTGGGACAGGTGTATCTGACCATGGGCAGGTGACAAAGGGCTTCCGCAGAGGCCCTCCAAAGGTGCAAAATGCCCAATGCTTCCTGTCACCACCTTTTTGGCACCAGGATCAAGCCCTTGTCTGCCTGCCAAGGCTGTTCAGAGAGCACAGAGATGGGGACAGGAGCTGATCACCACCCCCCTTCCTTGTTGACAGTCTCAGCAGAGAACGGGGTCAGCCACTCACCTCTAGGGTTTCAGCATAGTTTCTGACAAGGGCATGATGATGGGATGAGAACAAGCAGAGGCCTCTCCTGCGGGACAGGGCTACCTTCCAGCCTCCATCCCCACCCTGACACAGTGCCCCAGGTCCCTCTGGGAAGGTGGGTGGGAGGAAAGGGTGTCAGGCCAGTGTTGTGTGACTAAGTCCTACAGGTCTCATCATGATGGTAGGAGGAAGGTGGCCCAGCAGAAGCCTCAGCAGAGAGGAGGGGCCTCTAAGCTGACTCCTCATCCACTGCTAGAGAGGAGTCAGGGGTGTTCAGTGCTTCTATGAGAATGCCATTCCTCTGTTAGCAGAAATGGCCTGCTTTATCCACAAAAGGAAAACATGGCTTTGCGCACAACCTCCTTAAATGCTTCCGCAAGTTCCAGTGTTCCAGTGCAGCACAGAGCTGCCCTCTTCTTTCCCTCCATCCATGGCTGCCTCACCCTCCATTCTCCTCCCCTCACTTCACTCTTATCCTGAACAGGAAAGTCTCACTTGGAGATACCACAGGGGACACAAATGTCATGGGGGCTACTCAGGCCAACACCAAGGGGGTGGGGACTTTCAGCTGGCACCATCCAGGGGGATCCCATTTCAGTCCCCAGGGCCAGCTGGACCCAGAAAGGGACAGCCTTTACCCTTCTGGTAGCCAACATGCCACAACACCAGCTACTCAGCCTGCCACCACCACAAGTACAGATTAACTCCCCAGTCTGGGGGCCAACATGAGGCCTCTCATCACAGATGGCCACATGCCAGCAGAGACACCCCTGCTGGATCACAAAGGCCGGGCCACGGGGGCATCTGGTGAATGCCAGGAAAATGGCAAGAGTGACTGCCAGCCACTGCTTTTGTGGCTCCTGCTGATTTTAGATGGTACTTTGTAAGTAATGGTCATGGATGACCTGTATGAACTTCGCTAGAGCATATGCTAAAAGTGCAGATTCAGGGACCTCAACCCAGCCATCCTGAAGTTTAATCTCTGTAGACAGGACCCAGGAAGCTGCACCTTAAACCCGGTTCACGGTGATCCTTAGGCACACTAAAACTGAAAAGCACCACTTAGAGGAAGTCACAACAGTGATGCTACAAAGTCACTAACGTCAAAGGAGGAGAAATTATAAGCTACATGGCTTTCTATACCTCCCACCCTACATTATGCCCCAAGCAAGGCCTTTATCCTTATCTGTCCTCTCCTTCAACAACCTGGTTCCTGGATCAGAAAGAGGGAGCCCAAGCCAGCACCAGGGTACAAGGGGTCCAGCAACCTGATTCTGAGCTTCCCAGGAGCCAAAGCCAAAATTCAGCCATGACTGTTTATGGAGTCCTCTTGATCCATTTATTTAATGCATACATGCTAGGCAGGAATCAAGCACTCTGCTAGAGCTTGTCTACAGCAAAGAAATAGACATGGCTCCTTCCCTTTGCTTCCCTTCCCAGTCCTCATGAGGAGGAAAGCTTTTTCTTACACATAGCTTCAATAGAAACATCTTCATGTGGGCTACAGAGATTAAATAAACAATTACAGCATACGCTCAAACAGATTTCATCACTGCTTCTGGTAGCATCTCTCGGGAATTACTCCAGTACCCAACTCAATGCAAGGAACTGGAATTCAGATAAATGGTCCACATACATAAGTTTCTTATGATGCTAATTGTTCTACGGATAAATCCTAAGCTATGTAGAAGAAAGGACCATTTGCCCTTCAACTGTAGCAATACAGAGAAAATGCTTTGGATACAAGCAAAGAGAACAGGATATAAAATGTTATGCTCCACGAGGTGAAAATCTGCATGCATATGAATAAAGATAAGAAGGGAATATGAAGATTTAAAAATAAAAAAAAAGACATAAGGGCTCAGGCTCCTTGGGAGGGGTGCTCTTAAATCTTAAAATAACGACTTATCATTGCCATCACCTGGCCCACTAGCTCCTGCATCCAAGCCTATTTTAAATGCCTCCTTCAGCCTAGCAGAGCTAAGCTCAGAACCATGGGCTCAAGCACGAGCTCAAATCCACACCCATCACTTTTCTGAAGAAAATGGAATGACAGTATGTCACTTTCAGTGACCAAATAACAGACATGCCCATAGCAAAAAAAGTTCTCAACACACAAACATATGGTCTGGCAACCTTGCCACCCATGTAGACTTGGAGGTCACAATGACAAACAATGATAGCCCAAAAGAAGGTTTCCCATCCAGGTCTGGCTGCACCCCCAGAAGACCAAGCATTCTCTCCCCAGCCTCCTGGGCCACCTCACCATGGATGCCAAGGAGAAGCAGCTCTACACCCTCTCTCCTTCCTTTCAGTCTGAACAGTCACAAAAGAGAAACCAAGCCAGCAGGGAGGTCCGGCAAATACAGCAAACCCCTTCAGACTTCCACAGGTAACCCTGGTGGGCCCACGACATTCCCAGACACAGAAATCCAACACCTATGGAGCCCTAGATGGACAGACAGTGATGAGTGAAACCCAGCCCCAGCCACTGCAGCTTTATAAAATATACAGCGTAAACTGAGAGGCTGCAGGGAAGCCATGGCCTTCACGCCCTAACCCCAAGGCTCCAGCCTGCTGAGGACCTCAGCCCAACCCCTCCAGGAGCTCATAGCATCGGGTCCATACCCAGTGCACCCTGTGCCCCACCCACTCTCCCACCTCCATACAGGACCTGCACCTACACATTCCAGACCCCGCTGCTTCGCACCAGAACCTAACAGCCAGGACCAAGCCTCCATCCCAAAGTTAACCTGGTTACGCAAGCCACACGGCAGAGCCCCAGTCTTGGCAGAACCATTTCGAGAGAGGGAGAGTTGCTGCCTGAAGCAGATGATTTTACACAAGAAACCTCTTCTCGAGTTGAAAAAAAAAATCAGAGAAATGAAACCTCATCCAGTTTGGCCAAGATGCCAGTTGGGAAAGACAGGACAACATGGAAAGGAGGCGAAGAAGGGAAGGGACACCATCACACAGACCAGGGGAGTCCAGATACAGAGGGAAGAAGTGGCAAACCAAAGCCCAAAGCCCAAAGCAGGGAGCTCCACAACCCCCACCCTCTTGCTATCTTCACGTCCCAGATTTGGGGCTCTCAGATTCCTCTCCCTCTCTCCCTACTGGGTAAGAGAACACTGGAGAGATGAGAATTAAGCACTGCACAACTCAAGCCCAGATGTGAGCCCCATCTCTGATGCACCAGGGTTACATTGTGCAGGCCAGGAAGATGACCAAACGTCCTCAACTGGTCCTCCCTGCCTGCACCTTCTATTCCTCACCAGAGGATATCTGCCAGAGTCCTCAGCCCCCGTGGTCCCCCCTACCCCAGAGGAGGAGGGCATCTGACCACCCACATATCTCTATGGTAACCGCTGCCTTGGACTCAAGGTACCCAGAGAGGAGGAAAATAAACAAGTCAACTTTACAGCCAATGTACACAAATAACAAGAGATGGGGGCTGGGTGGGACACAGCAAAACAAGTCCTGCCAGTAGGAATGAAGAGACTGCCCAAGCAGAAACCAAACACAGCCCTACAAATAGGTCCCAGAACAGCCAGTGTGACAGAAGCCCACTGTCATCTCTGGCATGTTATAGTTTCTCTACGAGGTTGGGACATCTATTACATCTCCTGCCCTACAGATGCCCACGTCATTATTGGCCAAAGCCCACATCTTCCCCAGGGCATATGTCCTTGCTTCTAATGCATTTATGGTGCCCTACTGCCTAGCCCTAATTCCTTTCTCCAAATCTCATAACCTTTATCCCTGGGCTGCACCGCACAATGCTCCAGGACTCCACATCTAGGACCTGACCTCTGTACTAACCAGACCTATTCACAGAGCACTTCACACATTGCTGGGTCTGCACCGATCAGATGAGGTAAGCTTGGCAACCACCCAATCAACACTGAGGTTCAGAGAGTGTACACTGGAGGTGTTAGTGACAGGCCCTGGTCCTCCCAGCCTCAGGTACTCCAAGATCTCACCACAGAGGCTCCAAGGCCTGGGCCTTCATGCTCCTCTACCTGAGGCAGTGCAGCTCTTGCCCACGCCAGGCCACTGGGATTTCTAGACCATGAGGCATCATCACCCTTTACCCAGGACAGACTACATCTGCTGCTACACCATCAACTTTGTAATTTGATCAAAAAAGCAATCAAGTTCATCTGGCAGGATTTGTTCCCCAGAAGCCCTCGCCAGTAGCAGCCTCCCCTGATGTTTACAGATTTCATTCCCTTGGGAGTCTGTTCTACCGCCTGGTGGGCAGGGGAGGCTGGATTTGTCAGAGCTGCTCACTTACTGCATTTCTACCCTGTAAGTCACTACCAGGGCACAGGGACTAGGACAGGCCTGCAGTGGCCACCAACTCCTCAGAGAGAAACCATGACTGCTCCAGTTGAAGACCTCTCCATTCCATACCCCTCCAACCGAAGATCCTCCCTTCCCTAAGGACTGGATGCCCCTGAGCCTCCAGGGACCACTCCAGCTACCCATCTCTTGCACTGTCCTCATTCTTTTCTCCCCAAGCACTTCCAATTCCCCACAAAATTCCCTGTCTGGCTTCAAAGTCCACCTGTCCTGAAATCCCCACTTATCTCCAATTGCTAAAACACATACATCATAACTCCTGGGCCACCTGCAGAAGTCACAACCCTTGGAAAAAATCCCAGAGACATTAAAATGGGAAGCACTCACCCCGGGCAGACAACTTCTTAGTATTGATGATTTTTGCTGCATATTCCTGTGTAGAGGTTTTCTTCACACACCTGCGGACCACGGAGAAAGCACCCCTGGAGGGAGAAGGGGTAAAGAAGTGGGACACGGAGCAGGGGAGAGTAACACAGGCACACTTCATGTCTCAGGACATGATGCTCCCTCCCCCAGACCGTTAGTCACACACATGCACCAGCACAGTGACCACCACAAGCCAACTCCAGGCAGAGGATGAGGCCACCGCCTGACACTGAACAGATGTGGGTGGAGTGCCACCTGCTCCCACCCCCACATGAAGTCCCTGGGCAGAGCAACAGCCCCAACCTCAGGCTGCTACACCAGGAGCTGGTGGGCGACGCTTCAAACACACACCTGCTGCATCTCACTGAGAGCCCTGCAGTCCCAGCCAAGAGCAGCAGAGGAGGGAACAGGACCCTGTCCTTGTCTCACAGGGACAGTTGAGGGTAGGAGGAGCCAGTCAGGGGATAGTGTCATTCCTTGAGAGAGATTTCCCTCAATCACGGGGTAAAGTGAGGCTAAAACCCCGCTCCCCAACCAGTAGCTTCGTCCCGCTGCATCCCAGCTCAACTGACAGACAGAAAGACAGGACAGTTGAGAGTCTACACCCGTGGCTTCCCTCCTCCGTGACATTTTCCTTAACGCGCCCGCCAAATGGGAACTCGCATTCCCCGGCTCTGGAAACGTCCAAGAGGTGGGCGGGGCGGGGGCTGCAGTGGCATAGCTCGGCACCGTGGGTGAGGGTGGGCTGGGGTGGGGGTGGGGGGCCAGGGCTGCAGCGGCCGGCTCGGTGCGCAGGGGAGGGGGATGCTGCGGCTGCGGCGGGCACGCGGCTCCCGGGACCACTGCAGGCTGGGGGGAGGGGCCGGGGGTGCTGCGGCGCTGCCCAGCAGTGGAGCTGGGATCCTGCAAGCTGCCCTGCTTTTTGGGGGGGCGGGGCCGAGCCCCGAACACCCCCCACACCCGCACCGGGGCACCGCATCAGGGCTGGAGCCGCAGGCTTCGGGAGGCTCCCGAGTGCAGTGCGCGTGGGACCTGGGACAGAACCCGGAGTGAGCCCAGTGGCAAGGTGAGGAAGGGGCGCAGAGCAGGCGGTCGGGGGTCGCGCAAGGGGGCGGGGGACGGGGGCGGGGCTGGAGGGCGCCCAGGAGCGCTCCGGGGGCTGCAGTCCCACAGCAGCGCCAGGCACCGCGGCCCGGGCAGCCGCTGCACGGCGCGGAGGGG